ATCGTGGGCAGTTCTCCCTCAGCAGTAGAAAGGGATATGTTTTCTGAGTCATTTCCTGGATGCTTTGTTGAGCCTGCTAGCTAGTCAGTAAAAAGTTGCTGTTGTAAAAGTAGATGCGAAAAAAACTGCGTTTCTATTCTTTTACATAACAGATCGTATAATTCCGAGCATCTTCTGAACGTCAGACTGGGTATGCTAGGAGAGGTGATAACACCTCAAGGAGGTAGATCTATCACATATCATTATTTACGATCTTGCCATAGCAGGTCAGTAGATATGGCCTGTTTAAGGTGTTGTCTGGCTCGTTAAGTCGTTGCCCAATTATACCAACTCTTCTCAGTGGGTTTCGTTAAAAAGTACTATGGCATAAAGTACTATGGCTGTGCTTTCCCTTAAGAAATCTGCAAGCCTTTCACTGATTTTGATCAGATCTCCCACCCTTTGATCACTGGGGCCCAGCATTCTTCGATTTTATGTTAACATTGATTTCCTCCTTCTTGATTCGACTTTGTGGTCTCATTACTTAATGCATCATTCTTATTTTTTTCTTCAGCATAAATCCGCCTTGTTCACCTTCATCACCTGGTAATTTTTGTTGACGCTCGGCTGGAAAAATGTCCCCTCAGACATAGGCAGTTCTGAGTAGAACGACCAAGATTTTCACCGATTTCTGCTTGGACTTAGTCACAAGACGAAGTACAGATTAGTGTGAAATGAGGTTTTTTGCGTTTACGCAAGCACCCCCACTGTATGCGATGTTTTTGGCAATTTAGCTTCCTTAGACAGGGTAGGGTGGACATTAACAGTCGCTAAAGAGGAGGGGGTAAGAATTTTTTCTGACCATCTAAAAGTTTTAATCCGGTGGTTGACTTTTCTATTTCTATTTCCCATACCTCCCTTGTCCGGCGCTGCGGAACTACCAGGGGCATGTCTTGCTGCTGGACAAAAAGCTTGCAAAATGCGACCCCCTCTCGAAAATCCTCTCCTAGGGCAAATTCACTATTCCCCATACCCCATCCTGCCTATCATCTCCCTAAACGTCCCCATCTTCCTGCAACTTTTTCCTATTTTCACAAAAATTATTTGCTTCCCCTAAAAAAGCTGCTCAGCAAGCGAGGAAGGTACATTTCTAAGACTTGAAATAAATTGTTCATTCGGGTTATTTTGTCCTTTTAGGGACTCAGTGATCAACATAATCCTTAGTAACAGATATTCTTGAGAGCATTTCATTCCACCTCCTTTCTCGTCCCCAGTGGTTATATAGTACAATGACTATGGATATTATTATATTCATTTTTGGCGTCGGCGCCAGATTTGTCTTCGCGCTCTTGACTTTGTCTATCAAGTTCATTTTATGCTGACATTTGGAGGCTTTAATGTTCCTAGCCAGAATATGACTACGTTTTCGGACCTATCCTCAGAAGAGGATATCATTTTTGTGATCGTGACTCTCGATTGCCCTTGGGCGAAAGCTTCCAACTGGATATGATTCCCTACCAAGAAGTGATGGAGCTGCACGTGAATATCATTGGTGGATGGTAGGAGGTCATAACAGCTGACAAGGAGCCCCAAAAAGGAGGGTCACCAAATCCACCAAGAGTCACTGGTTATGTCACCATTCAAAATCAGTCATCAAAAAGTGGGCCGTATTTTGAAACATGGGAGTCAGGTCAAGAGTTGGGTGTCGAACCAGAGAACCTGTCAGTGATCAGGACCGCAAGCTTAACCATGCGCGCAGAAGTGCGCGTCAGCCAAACTGGTGTGATATATTCGGTGCAAAAAAAGTCGCGATGCCAAGTCGGCCCTGGCAACGGTTGTACGCCAGATAGAACTGGTGTTGGAAATGAATATGATATCCGTAATCAGCACCCCAAATGAACCCCTTGCGTAAAATCTTACCAGCTGTCGTAGAAATGTAGCCCCGCTGAACTGATGCTGATTCGTGCCATTCTAAAGCTAGCGCCAAAAACGAATGTCACTTTTGTGACCAATGTCCATTGCAAACACATCCCACAGCGGCCATCTTCTGGGAAAAATTACGATTTTTGAGCTCGGGCAAAAAAGCTCGAAATTTCGGGTTATTCGAATGCAGACGGGAAAACAACTTTCTTCCGCGTGTTTGTGCATAGCCAGTACCGCAAGCGCTCGTACAAGCAGAACACTCAAAAGAGTAGGCAGGAAAGTATTAGGTTGTCCCAAAAGTTCGTGGAACTTTCGAACATTTTTTTCGAGTTAAGTTTATTCCAGTGGGAAGCAATTTTGATCAACTATATATATGTCACCTTCATTGGCAACTTGTTGCCAATCACTACGCAATGTGTGGTTGCCCTGCTTCCAGAAGCCTCTTGGTTCTGTGCCCAGAAAGGCAGCTGGGTCATTTTTGAGGTGTTATCAAAAAATCGTATTTTTTTTCCCTAGAAGATTGGCCGCTTTGCGGACTAGATGTGAAGCGAGCGATCGGAAAGAGCTGAGTCAAGGCTACACTGTGATGGAACTCCCCAGTAAACTTCGGGATCTCGAGCAGTGTCGTTTTCCAAATGTGTGACCCTGAGCTGTGGTGGAGTAGGCAAACATTGCTCGGTTTTGGGACCAAATGGTAGAGACTAGAGTTTTCAACCCCCTTCTGCAGTTGATTACAATAGGATTCCCTGGTCACCACAGCGTTGGAAGGAAGAAATTCCGTTTTGGGAAGGGAGAAAGAAACCCCACCACATACGCAGTCTCACCGCCCTACTGGATTGATAGGATTGCGCGGTTCTGCCCTTTCTGGGGGATCTAGCCGCTGGCTCTCCCAGCAGTGATTCACTAGAGAACCTACTCCAATTTACAGTTTTTCAACCAGGCCGAACGTCTGGTAAGCGGCGAGGAAGTTGTGGACATGCCCAACATTGTGCTCCCCTTGGAGTTAATGGTCAACTCGCAGTGAGAAAAATTTTGACCGAACTTCAAAACTTTTCTAAGGAAGCGGGGCCCTCTCTCATTTGCTCCCATTGGGACCAGTCAAGTGTAAGGACTAGATAGCACTTTGACTGTTCGAATTGGTTTTAACCAAAGAACACAGTAGTCCGAATCCAAGGCAGGTGGCCTCCTTGGACGAAATTCTTCTCCCAGATAGAAGTCACTGAAGCGGTAGCAATTGGGCCATTTTAACGCCGTACTATGGAAGGTAACATAAGACCTAAATAAGGGAAGTGCCGCTTGTGGCTCCAAACCAGCTGTGGCTTGGTAGAGATTCATATAGCGAAGTTGCGTCGAAAATGGATGAATTTTAATTACTGAACAACGACTGCGAGGGACGGTAAAGCAACTGTGGGATGCTTACCTAACACATTTCCCACAGACCACATAACTGGATCTCGAAATGGCTAAGATCTGATACGAGATTCAAAAAATGTCCACGAACTTTACGGGACAACCTAATAAGTAGCACGACCCTTCTAGTGTATTATCTGCTAGTCAGCACTGCAACAGTCAGCATCAGTTCTGCTGGTGATTTAGGGGCTTTTCATCTCCAGTGACTCGTCCTGTCTGTCTCAGATGCTTGTTTGACCATTTGCGTTTTCATTTGCCACGTTCCTAATCGCACTCATAGGCTTTCTAAATGGCTTCCGTTCTCATAATTGGTGGGGGTGGACGTGAACATGCCCTGGCTTGGCGAATGGCGAAATCTGAGACCGTGGAGAAAGTATGGATTGCACCGGGTAATGGAGCCGACTTCGAGAAGCCAGGTACAATATAGTTATACATACTTTCGTACCACTGACTGTAGCTAAAGCGGAAGTTATCAGAGAATTTGAAGGTGATTATTTTATTTAGATATCGATACAACAAATGCAGACGATGTGGTAGAATTCTGTCAACGAGAAAATGTGTCGCTTATAGTGGTAGGACCAGAGGGGCCTCTAGCAGAGGGTTTCGTTGACCATATTCACGACCGAGTACCCGTTTTCGGGCCAACACGTGCTGGAGCTCAATTGGAGGTGAATTCCTGAATCCTCTGTCGGGTCAGCTCTTTTGTGAGTTAACAGATGTCTGTCCATTACAGGCTTCCAAAGTGTTTTCGAAGATGTTTATGAAGAAATATGGGTTACCAACCGCGGAATTCGAGTATTTCTCCGATATTGCCGATGCTGAAGCCTTCATAGAAAAGTGAGATTTCGAATTATTAGCCGAGAAATGCGGCCGTAGTAAGCATCTCAAAAACGTTGAACATTTGACTTCCGCGGACCGTTGATTGATGACTTTTGGGACTGTTCACCTCACATTTACATTCCATATCACGGGGATGGAGTGGGCGTGGCTGCGTCCTTCACTTAACGTGGCAGTGGCTGCGTTTAATAGGACATTGCAGGGAATAATTATTGCAAGCACAGTACAGGGTGGCTGCTGAGAAGTCCTCTTGAAGCATACCCACGAGAACCAGCTAGTATTTTCAGCTAGTTGACTATATGCTTCAGCACACCCTCTCCAAATGAATCAGATACTGCGTCGCCGCGTGGTGAACCTCCTAATTGAATGTCTTCAGATTCCATTTGAGTTTCGGTTACTTGGCGCACTCCAGAAGCGATTTGTCAACTTGTGACCAAGTACTTCAGAACATAACTGCAAAACTCCACAAAACCCGCAATGGGGAAGACCTTGCTTGCTAAACATTAGATAGCCTTGTTCCATGCGAATGCTAGGGCGCGTCAGGGAGAGGGTGTGGCACCGCCCCGCCCCTGGCACGTCCATATGCCCGCAGCGAACAAGACTGTATACTCGTCCGAATTCCAGGTGTGGCTGGGCAGGAATCGTCGTGAAGGCCGATGGACTGGCTGGCGGAAAAGGTGTTGTGGTGACAGACGACAAGGAGAGCGCCATTTTAGCAGCACAACAATTTCTCGCTGTAAGATTTTTACCTTGGCTTTTGTCGGCTGTTACAAAAATGTGGTATCTCCTAATCTACTGTCTGCCTGAAATGCCTTTTCGAGGGCCGATCAGTATTTCATAGCTTCCTCTAATAGCCTCATTTCTTCCGAATTATTTATCTTGTCTTCCTATTTGCTTCCAACATCATCTTTTACTCTCTATATCCCGCGAAGAGATCGTGCGCTATGGTATAGACGACTATGTCGCGCGCATTCATGTCGGGCTTTAGAAACCTTAGGTACTAGAAAGTAAAAGGCTGTGGAAACCTTTTTAATTGATCTAT